TAGCTCGCCTTTGACATCGTGCGGATAGATGAGCTGATGCGAATGCTGCACATGGATGCGTCTGTCCGCCTACGCTACTGTCGCATCCGTTATCATCTTGGGTACGGTCAATCCGATTAACTCAAGGAGCGCGTTGCTAGAGCCCAGTCATGTTTTCAAAATTGCAAGCTCATAGTAGTTGTACTCCTGATGGGGAAGTCCTATGTTTGGAAGCATGCCAGTCGAGCCTACTTTCGACGGCCACGGACAACCTCGCGTCCACTTCCATTTCTTCTCAGAGAGCCTCACAATACAATAGGACTCATCGCGTCTTATTCAAGTCAAGGGCAGGGTTCAACGGATTTTGCTCATTTCTGGTATGTGAATGAATAAGGGACGTTGGCCCCAAAACATATCACACGGGTGTTTCTATTTATCTCTTTTTTTTATGCACAACTCAGTGTAGATTTTATGCAATTCACTTACGCATTTCCAGTGTCTGCCCTACAGTCAAACGACTTTAAAATCGAGACACCCGTTTGGACCTACATGTTTTCAAATTTGGATACAGTTGCTTACTTCATATGCGCGAGATGATGACAGCTCCTATTCTCTATCGATTCTATTTCTCCTGATAACTGCGTTACACAACTCTACAACTCATACCTATTTCATACGTGTAATATTGTGTTTTAGATTCTTCGTTAAAGTAATTTGACTGGAATATTTTATTGTTTTTATTTGCGTGATATACGAAAACCAAAATGGGGATCATTTAGGCGTAGCGCCATCTCTCGTCAAGATTTCAGACTTTCAGATCTGAAACATTTATTTTCGCATCAAAACTTATGCATATATCATTATCAAGAGTATATAATGGGAGATATGCTACATAATGGGAGTTCTCCCATATATACTCTTGCTTTATATATCCCCCCCTCCCTCTTCTATCACACCCAAGATGAGCTACAGTGTCATTGACACTTTCATTTAATATATGTCACTCATTCGCCATGTTTACCTTGCCACCTGTCTCTCTTCTCTCTACATACATTGCCTTTAGACACGAGCTCAAGTTTCAAGAGTAGCGTTTTATAGCTAGACAATCGGCAGCCCGGATCTCGCGCGAAGCGCGAAAAATGCCGCGTAGCGGCACACTAACACAACAACGCTGCCCTCATTGAATAGCAATTTACACGGGTTTACTATATAGCAAGTATGCGGGAAGCTCGCTGAATTGAGCAGTTCTGGCGATTGCACGACGGGTTTGACTACCCACGTACCTAGACATTTGCTAGAAATGGTCGTAATTATTGGTTTGCTACTCGGCGCGCTTGGTTTGCTGTAAAAAACGGAGTTGAACTTTGTTGTTTTTTTGTTTTTGTTCATCAGTGTAGTACATATGGCGTGCGATAGATGGCGCAACGAGGCTATATGCATAGCATTTCATTACGACTTTTCCTGCAGACGGTGTGGCTCAGTAGCCGCAGTTGTTAAAGTGCCGTGCTACTGGCGCGAACGTTGCTGGTTCAATCCCCGCATTGGGAAAATATTTTCCCTCATTTATTTATCACTGCCGGTTTTCATTATAACGTTTTTTCATTACACCTTCTACCATGTTCGTGCGTCTATCATGTGTCTATCATGTTCGTCTGTTCTAACTATGTGCAATTATAGGATACTAACTCTGAGTTACTCTGAGTCTTGCTCTGAGTTAACTCTGAGTTACTTAACTCAAGATTTAATCCATGTTTATGAAACCCAAATTTAACTCGGAGTTTACTAACTCAGAGTTAGT